GTGCTCTTCTGATGGAAGCGGTATTTGATTTAGTAGTTTGCAGTACTGGGTGTTCCTTTCACTTACTGAGAGTGCTTCAAGATAAAAGAATATTTCTGACAAGACTTCCTTCTTTAGAGAGAGATAGTAAGATGAAGCAGATGGCAGCAAGTGGTAAATCAAGTTAAAAGAATCAGAGACTGTTAGAACTAAAAGGGACCTTAGAGGTCATCTAGACCAAAGTGTCATGGACCCCCTTGATAGTGCAGCAAAGCCTATGGATCCTTTTTTTAGAATAATATTTTTAAATATATACAGTAAAATACATAGGATTACAAAGGAAATCAATTGAGAGACAATTATCAAGGTATTTCTAAAAAAATCCACTGACCCTACAGTAAGAACCCCTGATCTAGGCCAATCCTCTCATTTTACAGGTGGGGAAACTGAGAGAGAGAAGTGACCTGCCTTCTGAAAAAAAAAAAAAAGAAGTGGCAGGACAAGAACCCAGGTTATTTAACTCAATTCACTGTCTGCTTTTTAAACTTAGTGATCTCAGCTCCAGAAGACTATGAACATGCAATTCAGTTCAATAAACATTTATTACAGTTAGGTAATGTAGGGATTATGCTGGACTGAGTCCAAGTTCTGCCTCAGACATTTACTGCTGTATGACCTTGGGTAAATCGCATAACTGCTTCCTGACTCAGTTTCCATATCTGTAAAATGGGGATAATAATAGCATCTACCTTCCAGGTTTGCCATGAGAATCAATTAAGATAACATATGTAAAGCTCTTAAAGCACTATATAAATATTAGCTTATTTATGAGGTATACCTACTTATATTCTAGGCACTGGAAATGATACTCCTACTCTCATGGGACATCTTTCTCTGATCGTTTCTTAGTGAACTTGTTTTTTTGGGATACCTGGCAGTGAAATTTTCGAAAATAGATGTTATTTTCTTCAGGTTCCAAAAGCAAAGAAAAGGCAAAAATTAAAGGAAGAAGGCATAGAACCCAGAGAATGTCTATTATCAATTCAGGGAATACATCTGGAAAGGAATAGGGAACTTGGTGAAGATTGTTTTGCTTGTGGTACCTATTAGGACACATTTAACATTAGTATCCGTCTGTACTTTGCTCCCTGGAAAATTTATGTAAGTGTCATTTCACAGCTATTTACTAAAGTGAAGGTGGCAAAGTTGCCCAAAATGGTGGACTAAAAAGTCTTACCTGTTACTCAGAATCAAACTAGTGACTGGAAATGATCTTATAGAATGGTTTTGCCCTTGTCCTTTGCCTGACTTTAAGTAGCACTTGGAAATGACCTGAAAACTGAAGGTAGTGTTAAGAGCTTTCTGTTTTCAAAGTAACCCATAGTACTACTCTGGAAATGTGTTCTTTGCAGTATATCATGAGTGTGGAGTAGATACCTTTATCTTCCCCTCCCCCCAACCCTTACCCCACCTTGGGCTGGGGTTAGATCTTTTACTCTTGTTTCCCCCACCCATCTTTGGGGAAGACACTTGGGTACTACTCAACTATCAGAGTCATAGGTGTAACTGGCATTATGTGGGGTGGGGAGGGTGAGGATGAGGGTGTGTGTGGGAATATACTCTTACAATTTGGCCAGAGTGTTTCCGGAGTTCCCACTGGTGTGCTTCCCACTTACACAAAATAGTCACACCATTGACTGTTGTTTAGTAATGAGTGTTTCAGACAACAGCAAAAATAATCATCATGTTTATTCAATAGTAGATAAAAGCAGTCAAAATTTCATAGCCCACCCATTCATAAATTTGAGTCACATTCCCATTATTATACACACTTTCTGTGGGGGAAAGTGAGTACCCACTGAAGCTTAGTGGTAAGGTACATGAGTAGGGAAACCCCTGTGTCCAGAGTGGTTTGTGACTTTGGACTGTAGGTCTGGATGTCAGAAATCTCTTTTAGGAAATGGTCTGCACCACATATTATCCTTTTCTCTTCTGAGCCTCTCTGCTCTACAGCTAGATAAGGCTATTTCTCTGCTACTTGTAGGCCACTGAGGTAGTGTTAAGTTCTACTAATAAGCAAAAACATTTGGTATTGTTTTGCTGAAACTGCAGCCTTAAACTTGAGGAGTATTGATTTTAGGTGTCTTCCTCTACCTGGGCTTGGAAACAGTATTAAGCCATTTTAGAGACAAGCAGCTTCCCAGATCTGCCCTTTGTACTAGGAGGAGGATTTTCCTCTCAAGGTAGAGGGTAGTAGAAGGTAATGCAATCAGACCCCTGAGGGGTTTTCCCTGTGACATTCTGTGGTTGATGCTAAAGGGCCGTGAATTCAGACAGCTCACTGCCACCGGGTGGATGCTGCTTCTTCCAATATTTCTTTTTTCTTTTAAAAAAAATTTTAACATCTGATTTTTAAAAAATTTTGAATTTCCTATTTTCTCTTTCCCAGGTGCCATTAAGAAGGCAAATAATATGATACCCATTGTACATAGGAAGTCATGCAAAACGTTTCCATGTTTTCTTGTTCATTTGTTTCAGTCCTGTCCAACTCTTCATGACCCTATTTGGGATTTTCTTGGCAAAGATTTTCTTGGTTTGCCATTTCCTTCTCTAGCATTTTACAGTTGAGCAAACTGAGGCAGAAATAGATTAAGTGACTTGCCTAGGTTCATATAGGTAGTAAGTGACTGAGGCTGGATTTGAACTCTGTTTTCCTGATTTCAAGCCCAGCACTCTGTCCACTGTACCACCTAGCTGTCCCGTATTTCCATATTAGCCGTGTTTAAAAAAAAAAAGCAAGCAAAATAAAGTGAAAAAAAACCCCCAGAGTTTATCAGTGGTCTCTCTGGAGGTGGATAGTATATTTCATCTTTTGGAGTTGTCTTGGATTATTGTATTGATTAGAGTAGCTAAGTCTTTCATAAAGTTGATCATCTTTACAATATTGCTTTTACTGCGAGCAGTTTTCCTTGGCTTTGCTCACTTCACTTTGCATCAGTTCCTATAAGTCTTCCCAGGTTTTTTCTGAAAGCATCCTGCTCATGATTTCTTATAGGACAATAATATTTCATCACAATCCTATAGCACAACATGTTCAGCCATTCCCCAACTGATGGGCATCTCCTCACTTCCAATTCTTTGCCACTACAAAGGGAGCTGCTATAAATATTTTTGCAGAAATAGGTTCCTTTCCTTTTTCTTTGATCTCTTTGAGGTAGACCTCTAGTTAATTTCCAAAAGCTACAGCAGTCACCTCTAATAAGAGAGCTCCCTACATGAGATGCAGAACTTGCCTATCAGTTTTGCTCAGCTCAAGTCAGTTTCTGTATTCTATCTTTTGGTAGTAACTTCTCTCTTGGACTTCTTGTGTTTTCTCATACTGCCTTTTCATTCTTCTGATTTTCTTATCTTCTTTCTCCTGTAGCTTGTATCATAGCATGGCATCCTCATAAGTATTGATCTAGCTCTAACCCATGTTGGAAAACACCCAAATGTATGGCAACAGCAGGTACAGTGTAAATTATATACTTTTCCGGTACTCTCCAGACAGTTCTGTGATTTAGAGTTTCTTAGCTATATTGTTAAAAACCCTGAAGAGTTATATATAAATGAGCTGATGGATTGCATCATACTGCAGCCATCCCATCTTTAGCCAGTATTTATGCCTTTAGGTTTCTTTTAAATGGTATGCTTAACTGTTTGAAGCTGCTTTTTTTGTTTTTTTTACATGAATGTGCTTTTTCTGTCCCTTTCAGTAACTAAATTGTTTACATGCCAAAAGTGCATTAGTGTGAACCAGGCCTGTGATTTCACTGGAATGAAACACAATCTGTGATACTCCAGTCTAAGAATCCTTACTATAGCACTGTCTCCCCGCCTCCTCCCACCTCTGAAGACCTCAAATGTACAGAGCTAGTGACTCCTTCCACAGGCAGCCTTTTGTACCTTCCGATAGTTCTAATTATTAGAAATGTTTATGTCAAGTCAGCCCAGATCTATTTCTCTGCAACTTATACCCACAAGGTAGCTTCTGGGCTACATATAGACTATTATATAACAGACATACACTATGTAGCTCTTTTTAACTTCATTATTTTTGTCAGTAGCACTACCATTCCACCTTTCTCACCATGTCTGAAACCCATGAGTCTTTCACATCCAACCAGTTATCAGATTTGTTCCACCTTTGAAGCACCCTTTGTATCTATTCTATTCTCCTTCTATTCCTAGGCTACTCATCTATACTCTTCCAATGAGATTGTAGCTCCAGAGTAGAAAGGGTTCTTAAAAGTCATCTAGTCCAAACCCTCATTTTCCAGATGAGGAAACTGAGGCTCCAGGAGGTTAAATTTCGCTTGCCCAAGGTCACCCAAGTAGTAAGTAGCAGAATGTGATTTTGGATTACGGTTCTCTTACTTTAAAGGCAGCGTTTTCCCTGTGGCATCAAGATGTCTCTTGAGTCTCCCAAACAATACTCTCTTTGCTATTTCAGCCCAGTTTTTCATAGTGTTGCCAGACTTATCTTTCTTATGCGTAGATCTAGTTGTGTCGTTCTTGTGCTGAAAAATCTTTAAAGACTCTCTCTTGTCCAGTGAGGAAACTTTAAACTCCTACTAGGGACCCTCCACAGTCTGGTGCCGTCTTATTATTCCAATCTTCTTCCAAACCTCCTTCCTCCATGGACTGTATATCTGATAACTGCGCCACCTAGCTGCCCCAATAACCTAACTCTTAATGAGTTGAGGTTTCAAGGACTTAATGTACACTTGGTCTATTGAACCACTTGAAAGGGACCTTCCTTTTCTTTCTCAAATTCTGAATAACCTATGATTGTCTATTGCTATTTAGTAAGTATTTAAAAAAAAACTTTATAACTTTAGAAATGTCAAAAGGTAGCATTTGGGATCCTCTCCATATTACTGCTTGTTTATGTATAGATATCTGTTCATAAAAGTGCTAACAAAGATTAAAGGGTAACCAATCTTCTTGCTTGATAACCTGTCCTCTGTTAACTTTTTCAGGCAGTGGTGCTACTGCTGTGGTCCAGGCTGCGCTATGCAAACCCCGTCAAGAGCGAGTAGCAATAAAACGCATCAACTTAGAAAAATGCCAAACGAGCATGGATGAGCTACTAGTAAGTAAACAAGTGAAACAAATGACGATTTATTTTTCTTACTTTTTTTTTTTACTGGATTGATAAAATGGATTGGGAAAGAGAGTAACAACTTGGGTGTATAAGTTTTGAAGCTTTTATTTCTTAAGGAACCAACTACAAACTCCCTCCCTTCAAATTTTTAATTAGTGTAGTAATGAACCCTAATATTTATAATGTTTTAATTAAATTCAGTAAGCATTTCATAAGAACTTGTTATATACAAAACATTGTGCTAGGCTGGGGAATGCAAAGGTAAATGAAACTTGGTCCCTTCCAATAAGGAACTCTAATTGAGTACATCAGCTAGAACCCTGGGTAGATAGATTAGTAGGTCATAAACAAGTAGAAATGGGTGAGGATATACTTTCCATGATATTTGAAAGATGGAGAATAATAACCAAGAGGCAAGACAGGAGAAGGACATGTCCAGATTTCTAAAAAGAGAGAAGAGAGTGGAGACTGCACACTATTGGTCAGAGAGTTTTCCTGAGACCTGGGAAAATCCTAGAACCACTAAAAGTTTAGTGGAATGCCCCAGGGATCTTGGTCCTTGTCCTTGGGACTCTTTAATATTTTAATCATTGACTTGAATAAAGACTTAAGATAGATGCCTATCAGACCTGCTGTTGACACAAAATGAGGAAGTATAGATACCATATTGGGTGATACAATTCAGATGTGAAAGATCTCTATACACTAGAACATTGGACTGTATCATAGATATTTTTCAGCCTGGACTTATATTTTCACTGTAATTTCAGTGAGACTTATGAAACTTAATAGGGGTAAATATAAAATCTTACATATGGGTCCAAAAAAATCATCTTTAAAACTTCAAGATCAAGTGAGGATATAAGAGATAGCATTTATCAAAAAAAGAGTAAAGGGTGTTAGTGGACTGCAAGCTCAGAATGGGTCAGCAAAATGATATAATAGTTAAAAAAGCTAATGTGATGTTCAGCTACACTAAGAGAGGTACAGTTTTGCCTCTCTTATAAGACTAGTCCTTAGGTATAATGCATCCTGATTGTTGTGCTCAGTTCTGGACACAGCCTTTTAGAAAGGACATGAATGAGTTGGAGGGTATCCAGAGGAGAGTGGTCAAGGTGATGGAAGATCTAGATAGTGTCATGTGAAGTTCATCCAAGAAACCAGGGATGCTTTGCCCAGAGAAGACTTGATAGGAGTGAGAGGTAGGTGTGTGTGTGTGTGTGTGTGTGTGGGTGTGTGTATGGGTGCGAGTGTGGGTGCATACACGTATGTGTGTATGGTAATTATCTTTTAAGTCTTTGAGTGGTTATCATATTAAGGAGATATTAGACTTCTTTTGCCTGTCCTCAGAGACAGAATTAAGAGTAATAGAAGTTGCAGTGAGGAAGATTTAGGCTTGACGTAAGAAAGAAAATCTTTTCTAACAGTTAAGAGTTCATTGCACATTGAATGAGCTGTCTTTATTCCACTTAAAGCCTTCTGGCTGGATGACCACCTACGTGTCAGGGAAGTTGGAAGCACCTCTATAGGCTCACTGCGCCCAGGGAGCCTGGGTTGCTCAGTCATTCTCACAGAGGGACCCTTATGTTTGAGATCACATGGCTGCCAGATTCAGTTCTAGGGAAGCTTAGGCTCTAAAGGGAGGGACCAAGCTCTTTCTTGTGGAACTTTCTGTATTTTTATGCCCCCATTCCAGAGTCTCATAGAAAAATCATTAGATTTTATTCTTGTCTAGGGTCTCGCTAAAAGGTAGAAAGTTGCTCAAAGTAAATTGTAGATCAGGTATAGCACAGCTGTTTATTTCTTTGACTAAGAAAAAATGCTAAAAGCATAAAAGGCTCAAAAGCTTTCATTGAAAAAGATATAAAACATGATGCTATTTTACCCTTCTTGACCCTTAAAATATGGGAAATTTTGTGTGATTCTAGCGTAAACATTTCGCCTTTACCATGGTTCTGCACTATCCACATGACTCCCTCAAGGTTCATGTCCTCTGGCAGGGTGGGCCAGGGTTCGGCTTTGTGTTTCTGTGTGTGGTCATCTTGTCTGAGAAAAGTCTTCTGTGCTGCAGCCAGCACCAGTTGAGGGACCCAGGAACTTTGGATCTCTTGAACTAATGAGGTTTTCTCTCAGGCTGGAAATATCTTTCTCGGGATCTCTAAGGTTATATTCTGGGAAGGAAACACAAAGCAGAAGAAGCAACCAAGGCCTTGAGAATCCAACTTAGGCTTACTTAGATGACACATCCTTCTTTTAATGGGCCATGGAGGAGAGGCCTCTTCCCTCAACATGGGAAATCCCAGAGAGTGAGTTCCATGATACCCATTCTAAAGAGGAAGAAGAGTGAGAATGGAGGTTGTCTTTTCTTTTAGAGTCTGCTGAGGGGGTGTTTCTTCCTAAATCAGTGTCCGCTTTTCTTTGATGAATTCCCTTCCCCCTTTCTGCTGACCTATCGATGAAAGGATTGCTGTGTCATACGCCTAGTCTTTAGCACTGAGCCAGTCCGTGTAGCCCTGAGGTGACTAGGAGGCTTCATGCATGTTTCTTTGTATACTCCATTGAGGTGTGTTCCAGCCAGAACAGATCGAGGGAGCTCCTGATTGTCACTATTGCACACATAAAGAGTTGGTTCCTGTTTAGTTACTGGTTTGGTTAAATAGCCTCTGAGATCCCTTCCATTTCTATGATTCCAAGCATGGAAGATGAATTGAAAAAACGTCTAGGGAAAGGTTGGATGAAATTTGGTAAGTAGTGAGCGAGTATATTTGTGTGATAAGCTTGGAATGGTATAGGTTGGATCTCTCATAAATTAGGATGTCTAGGCCTTAGCTTAAGTCTGCAGAGCCACTTACAAGAGTTTTCTCTGACCAAGAGGGTCTTGAATTCTAATTCAGTTTAGTATACCTTTATTCTTAGACTAAGAAATCTGAATTTTATTAGGCAATGGGGAACCATTTAAAGATTTTTTTTTATGGGAGTGACATGATTATAACCATTAATTGGATTAATGTGTCAGAATTGTGTAGGATGGATTGGAGGAGGGAGACCAGTAGAGGCAAGGAGACCAGCTAGAAAGTTACTGCAGTAGTCTTATCAGAAAAATTACTGGGGCCTGATCTGTAGTGGTGGGAGACATTCTATTAGAGAGACAATAGGACTTGATTATTTTTAGAAATGGATTAAGTTCAGTGGCCAATGTGATCATTTCTACCCTCTGAAATTCTGTGGTTCTTCAGACTTAGCAGGCTGGTTGGATGAAGGGAACAGAAATAAAAGTTAGGAGAAGCAGCATGTGTTCTGATGAGTTTGTGGTGTCAGTAGGACTTCTAGGTACAGATACCTGGCAGAAAATTGGAAACTAGGGTCTACAATTAAGGCTTAAGGTATCTATTTGTGATTCATGTGCATTGAGATGGCAGTTGAATTGCTGGTCTAAAGGAAGACGGTAAAAATAAAGAAGTCCTGAGGACAGATATTATAGATGCTTTCACATATCTGACTTATTTCTTACAATCATGTATTGTGAGACGGGGCTGGGGATGGTCTCTCTGTCTTACAAATTAGGAAACTTGAGACTGCTAAGGTCACACAGAGAGTAAGAGGCAGAATCAGGACTTGACCCTAGAACTTTTGTCTCTCTATCCAGAATATTGGCTCACAAGACATGTGAGTCATTGTGTGTCTGTAATTGTGTGGAGCATGGATCTGGGTACTGAGAGGGAGCTTATTTTTCCTATAGGCGATTCTGTATTGTAAATAAAGTTCTTTTGTATAATGATTGGAACTCCTCAGTGTGGGTATGAAAGTAGTGTTAAGTTGATGGCACTGTAGTTGTATTTTCATTGTATTCCCAGTGTTCACCGTAGTGCCTGCACATAGTTAGTATTTCACAAATGCTCATTGGTTGATGGATTGATGGATTGATGGAACAATCGATTTTCCCGAAATAAGTCAGTATTAAATAAACAGCTTGGCTTCTGGTTATGTTGTCCAGCAAGCTGGGAAGAGTTTGAGAATTTAATCTCATAAATATAGTTCTCTTTGTGCCTGCCAATTTTCTTTTTTCTCCTTTCTGGCCATTTATATGAGAATGCTGGAAAACTGCAGGGGAGGAGTTAACTGATTGGTTACTAAAACAGTAATCCCAATGCAAATATTAGTCTAGCAGCTCCAAGCAAGTTAGAAAGTATAATGACATTTGGCTCCAAATGAAGAAGGCTTTTGTTATGTTCTGTACTTGGAATGAAATGTCATTAACAAGAGCTTTTTGTCTCCATTTAGAATATAGCTTTTATTTCAGGTTTAATTACAGTGCACTATAGTTTAAATTGAGTTTAGGCATAAAGCTGTAGTTTTCCAGATCTGCTTGGTCTTGTAATTTAAATTAGGCAACATAATGCGTGGATTTTGTTGGGATAGAAACAACAGATTGCTTGGTTACAATTCAGATTAAGGAGAAAGGGTTTCCATAATCCAGTGTTAATTTTTAATTTGCATATGCCTTCAAAATTTCATCTTTCATGTAGCTGCCAAGCTTATATGCTTACACTATTAAATTATCCTGAATGTCCTTTGGTCTCTGCTGGTTATGAACATGGTGGCAAGTGATGAGTATAGATGATATAATTCCCTTTTTATTTCTTCCAGTTTTCAGAGTTACTTTGCCTGGTAGGGCAAAGAAAGATTCATAATGTTTTGAAGTAATTCATTATTTGGTAATGTTTTTGTAGGTGATGGCTCTGTTTTTTAACGTCACCAGAAATCATCACCTTTGAGTCTGCTTACTTTTCAAAAGGATCAGCTTTAGCTTGATGGAACCTTGGAGGTCATACAGTCCAGCCTTCTCATTTTCTAGTTTAGGAAAGTGAAGCTCCAGGGACTTGTCCAGTGTAGTGTAGTCAGTAGCAGAGCTAGGACTGGACCTCAAATTCTCTGCCTTCAGATCCAGTCCTCATTGCATGGTACCTGCTTGCCTCAGGCTTTCTTAC